GTGTGTGTGTGTGTGCATCCCAACTCCACACCTGCACTGTGTTTGCACCGGTGGGCTCCGCTGGACAACGAGGTGTGTTCCAGGTGACCTACAGAGTTGGGTAAACCAATCACAGACAGAGAGCTGTCTCGTCTACTGTTAACTGATCATAGAATATACTCTACTATTTATTACAGTGACATACAATTTGGAATGCAGACTGAAGTGTAGGTAAACTGGAGCACCACCATATTATCTTTTCAGTCATTTTCAATGCAAACACATCAGGCTATAGAGCTGGGATGCAGACTGAACTGACAGCACAAAGGGGAACTTGCATCAGTTTCATTTTACCTTTCTCCCCAAAATGTTGCATCTGTTCCTCAGACGGGGAGAAAGGAGGGCGTGACAGCACCGCCCTTGTGGCTGAACGGTGTGTTGGCGAGGCAGGGTGCCAAGCTGCCCACGTTTCAACAACATTGTCCCTTGATTTTGTAAAACCATACTTTGTTCTGATAATAAAATCAAAGGCATGAAAATAAAATGAAAGTATATATAACTCTTTCAGGTCCATTTTATGTATGATTGGCATTTCTCCTCATTCCTCTTCGCTCTCGTTTCCGTGCTCCATGTCTTCCTCTCCGTTAGCCTTGGAATCTGTTCTGCTTTCTGGATCATCCTCTTCCTCGTCTGCTTTTTCTTCCTTCTCTTCTTCCATCGCCTCCTCTTCTTCCCAGTTCTGTCACAGACCAAAAATAAACATCTTAATGCTCAACTCAGAAATGGGCAGCCTAATAAGTGTCTGCAGTTTGGGAACATGCACCAATTTACAGTGAGCACATTACTGTTCTTCCAACTGTTGCAGTGCCAACTTCCTACACAGATCCTAGTCCACCACTCAGACTGGCCTACTTACATCAGAGTCGTCATCAGGAAGACCTTCATCACCAGAGGCCTCATCTTCCTCAGATGATTCTGTAAAGGGCACACAAAGGAAAACAAATCCATAAGCTGCTAATGCAAAACAGTTTTCATGACATCAATGCTGGCACAAGCCCCCCCCCCCCCCCGCCCCGCACAGGAAGAGAAGGGGAAAAAAGAAAGGAGCAAGCCCTCCATGCTTTCACTTGTTTATACATTTCATGCGACAGACGGCAGATATTTGCATTTCAATAACATAGCTGGGCCACTTGGTTAAACAACAATACGGACTGTGTGGTGCAGAAGGGAGGAATGTCAATCTGATTTGCTGAGGCTATCTGCCCCATCAGGTCAGCCAGGCACCATCTGCTGCAAACAGTCACTGGCTGAATTCAGATGCATACATTACCAAATATTCTACTACTTCCCATAACTGTAAGTGTGCTTATATGCTGTGCAGCAGGGAAATGCGGCAGGTGTTATAAAAAGAAAGACTAAGAATTAGATTGTAAAAGTGGAACATGATGTAATGTTTTGGTAATCCAAACGGCCTCAGAAGAGTGGACACTATGGTCAGGATGCAGGCTAACAGACGTTGAAAGGCCATTTTACAAACAATACATGATGGTTTGCACACATTTCCACTGAAAAGAGAAGTGCCAGGAATACAAAGGAAGAGGATGGAACAGGTCAACGTTTGAGGCCATTACCATTATTATAACATGTACCCATCAATTCAATGAGGATAATCATTTGGAGTCAGGGGCCCACTGTTTTTCAGAGTGTTGTGAAAAAGCAACTTTTATATAACACCATGACACGGTGTACAATTTTCTAACTGGCTGCCCCATTATCTGCATCAACCCTAAATCCCCGGCCTAAAGGACTACATCTAATCCTGTGTTTTCACAGACATCCTCCAGGCTTGTTCAGATACTGATACCAGTATAGGTAATGCCTCTCATACAGGTACCTCTGAAAAGGTTGGATTGGGTATCGATGAGTATGCAGGTCTCATTAATTAAACGTAATATATTAGCCCTGAAACAGGACAATGCTACTTCCCAGCAAAGTCCTTTTTGCCATTTTTCCCCTCTAACCAATCTCAGTCATCATGCCTAAACCTAACCAACCCACACCAATGACGCCAATCAGCGGCACAGGCAGGTCATGTGCACTGTGCTGCACTGGCAACTTCTTTTCTAGAGCGGCGATGAGGAGTTGATTTTTGACCTAAATGTCAGAAATTGGACTTTGGACTGTCAAACTACACAATAAAATTTTGATGGCATTCATTCTCTGTATAAATTTGTTCATGTTTTACAAAGGGTTAGCCTGAGCCAGGCATACAACAATTGAAACTGATCAGAGTAGTGTTAGCAGCATGCAGCGGTTAAATAATATTGTTTAGGCAGTTGCATTGGATCGGTCAACACGTGGAGCCCATCTATTGAATTGGTATCAGTTCTGCAGCTACTCCAATCATAGCTCATGCTACCGAATGGTTAATTAATATTTAATGCATGTTAACCATACATGCAATAGCCAGAACAAATCTAGAGCACAACAGCCGTTTGCAATTAATCACATCCATTTTAACTACATGCTATGATTCACTTACTTCACTTACACGTCTGACACAACCCTGAAGTAAACTGGTTCCCATGTTGGACCCATAATAAGGCTAATGTAGAGCAGTATCCACACCAGACTGTAACAACCTCCTGTTCATCAGCTCCCTTCACAAACTTTCTTTTTAAATGAACCTTCACATCCTGGACCACTGACGGGTATTGGATCTCAAAGCGCAGCTTAATTATTTCATGAAAGCCAATTTTCTATGTGGTTCAATAAAGCGTTTTATACAGTACGGTAATGAGAAATGAGAGTGAACAGAGCGGGGCCTTGTTGTTCTGCTCAAAAAGGAGGATCTGAACGCTGCCAGTCAGGTTGCCAGGCAACAGGAGTCATGTTTGCGTGCGGTGCATCGCCAAGAGTGGCTGCATGATGGGCAACACTACCTTTCAGAAATCTTAACCAATCGTGTGCAGTCTTCATGAACAGTCCCGAATGACTTGAGGTGAATTGACAAGATAACGAATGCCAGTCAAATGAATGAAAACAAAGGCTCTCTCTCTCTTTCTCCCCCCCAACTGGTCAAGGCATATAAAGCCTAGGTTCGCAAGTAACTGTTCTCGATGTTCTGTGGTCCGTGTCGTGGGAGGCGGGACCAGCGACAGTGTCATGTCAGAGGGGGGGGCAGCAGGGGTGAGCCTGACACGGCTGGTCAGGGTTTGTCCTGCCCGACGATCCCAGTCACCGCTGGTTTCACGGGTCTTTTACGGGAGGGAGAGGAAAGGTGAAGAACTCTGTTTCCCAGGTGTAGAATAATGCCTGATGATTTAATACATGGGAGTGATTTGTTGGAAAAAAATAAGGATGAAAGAGTCAGTTTAGTCCCCAAGGACCATCACGTGTTGAAATTCAAAAAGTCAGTGGATTGTTGCACTTTGTACCACCGGAAGTTCAACTTTGGCACGAGGGATTAAAACTGTTCGTAGCCATATCATGGTTTTATCTCGGCTCAACCAGCTCAGGCCCACAGGGTTCTCATTCTAGGTCCTGTTGCTGCACACCTGATCTAATTTAGGTGGGTACATTTTTCAGGAATGTAACAGCAGGATCCCAGGTAATACACTCGAGAGTTAGGTGTAATTAACGCTGAGTTAATGGGAGAAAGGCCCTTGATGTTGCGGATTACTTGTTGAAAGAAAAGAAGGATAAAAGGATTCCATGGTGAGAGCAATAGTCTCGCTCCTGCCGAGAAGAGGTTTGGCTCCGCCCGACTCGAGCGACTTGCAGTTGTGGTGGCAAGGGAGGAGTAGATTGCGCAATTTTTTTCGATAACTAGTTTGGTGTTCATCAGAACGATGAAAATGAGCATCATATTCACGCAGCAGGTTAGATGTATTCTGAAAAATTTGCAGTGGGAATAGCGTATATTAATGTGTCGCAAAGATTTGCCTGAGTGGGATGAGGTCCAGCGCACACTAGGCAATGACTTACAAGGAACGTGCGTCTGTGATCACACAGCAAGATTGACTCACTAGACTACGCTTCACACCCAAGGTCAGATAGCTGTCACACTTTAAACATTCATTGGTGAAGCGGAAGTAAATTTTCGTCAACTTGTACAACGTGCTGCAGTAATGCAACTCTATTAGTCCTGCACTTCAATCATGTTGACGGCTGATGTCGGGGCATAACTAGAATCATATTCAGGGAGGAAACCAAGAACAGATCACTCATTCAAGACAATTGTGGAAGGAAACACTTTCACTACCCACACGGTCACAAACCTATTCGCCTGTCAGAGTCAGATGCATGCCTCGACGACTGGGTATGTAAAAAGCTACAAGTCTAAACTCAAAAATTTGAAAAAAAAACAAAAAAACAAAAAGAAACCACTGACCACAGCCCAGTGCAGTGGTACGTTGAAGCTTACACTTAGCTGACTGTACAAACTACACATTGTGAAAAATGCATAAACCATTCTAATCAACAATCTTGCCAAAGATCTAGAT